GGGGTATATGAGAATTAAGCCAATTAGGGGGTTCCTCCACTGGATACCTCCAGGCTACAATATAGGGGACTTGGTCCAGATGTCCCCCTGGGCCAAAGATTACCGCCTGGTTCTGGTAAATTTGGCAGGAGAAAAGTGCTCTCTGCTGGTCACCCTGTTCGGAAGCTGGACCATTCTAGCTGACAAAAAGTTTTCAACTTTTTGGAGTATCCTTTGTCCCCATTTCTCTTGCTTTCTTCTGGAAATCCTACATTGAAACAGGAGAAAGTCTAAGGGTGTCCTGGGAATGGACTCACTTTGTCCCATATTTTCCAGTGAAGTAAATCCAATTCAAAACCTGGCCAGGGTCTTCAATTCCCCTCAGGTTGGAGCGGCTAAACCCTCAATCCCGGATGAGCCCCCATGAAGTGTAGTAGAAAGACCCCCTACTCAGGCGGACAAGCCCACCTAGTCATCTGGAGTGACAGAGCCTACCGTGACAAAGTTGTTAGCAAGGAAGCAACTTCATTGAGAAAGTTTCTACCCTGACTGGTCAGGACTGCAGCACAGACTCAGGAGCTGGTACCATGACCCCAAATGGCTCACAAGCTAGGGTTTTAAAAGACAAAATCATGCAGTCAAGCCTGGTCACATGCAGGTGACCAGTGGGTTTACAACACACACACGAAGGATTGCATGAAAGGATCCTCACATCCATCCCTGGGGACCACACAGAGGTAGGCAGGCAGGCAGGCACAGGAGAAAGATTATTACAAGATTTATTCAAAGAGCCATATTTGCCCCAGAGAGAGAGCACATGGCAGCCTCCACTATCTAGGTAGCAGCACGGTCTGGGGGATAGGAACTGAGGTAGATGGGAGTTCAGGTGGGCCTGGGCAGAGAAAGGGAGGGGCCAGCTGTATAGCCAAAACTCCAGGGTAGGGAGGAGCTCAGGTCTGGTGGAGCTGAGAACCAAAGGTGGGCATAATGTTTATATTGCATAATCATGACAGGCCACACACAGGTGGCCAATGGAGTTACAGTGTGTCTCATAATAGCTGTTCAAACTAACCTATCACTTTGAATTGGTGCATGAATTTGACAGGCAAAAGGTGGGGTTTACATTGGGGGGGCAAAAGGCAGGGTTTTAACAGGTAGTTGAGCAAGTTGAGCAAGATTACTGGGTATTATCAAGTGAAACCATGAAGGAATGGGTCAGGTCATTAGGGGGATGGGGGTCAGATGTTTCTCTACTCTAGGAATCTGGCTTTCCAGGGTCTGGAGGGGGTTAGATTAGTGAGGCTGTTTTTCATAGTTTAAGCATTGTCTAAGTGTCACCATCACCTAGTGAGTCAAGATGGAATCCAGAAGGCCACAGGTTGAATTAAAGTTTACACTGAGGTTATGTTAGTTTAAGCCTCAATTTTTTTTTTCTTTTCTGGGCTCCATTTCCCATTACACTCAGTATGTTCTGTCAGCTGATAACAGGGGAATATGTTGATTTGAGATTGTACTCTTTATCTCTAGGGAATGGAGAACTGCTGGGGGTGGCCCATCTCCTCACATGTGTGCACATGCTCGCCCCCCCCCCACACACACATAATTAAGTATATGGGAGGTCATTCTTTTGGATCAGACTCTTTCATCAGGAGGACCAGATTAAATCAAATATAGTCACTGGCACTAAATCCCCCATACTGAAATGGAACTTACAAAGTGATTAGTTCCTAAACTCAAAGAGATGGTCAGCATTGTATTCTAAGGCACTGGGGAGCCTTAGTTTAAACATTTCCTATATTTTATCTCCTAAAAACAAACTAACCTTGAGGTTCTGCCTCTCCCTTGTTCTACTAATCTGGGCACTGAATATGCTGCTATTCCTAAGTCTCTTCACCCACAGAAATTGCAAATGCCTTCCTATCAACTATAACTTCCTTTAGTACCATGAACTGAACAGCTACTTGTAGTTCACCTGCAATGATTCCACACTGGACTCACAATGAGCTCACAGTCTGCTCTGACACTGATAAGTCAAGATGAAAAAAAATGTGATGAATCAAAACAACACTGAGATACCACCTCACCCCAGTTAGAATGGCTATAATCAAGAACTCTAATAACAACAGATGCCGGAGGGGATGTGGACAGAAGGGAACTCTACTGCATTGTTGGTAGGAGTGTAAACTTGCTCAATCACTTTGGAAAGTAGTATGGAGGTTCCTCAAAAGACTCCACATAGAGCTCCCCTATGACCCAGCAATCCCACTTTTGGGCATTTACTCAAATGACCACAAATAAGACCATACTAAAGATACCAGCACAACTATATTTACTGCAGCATTATTTACCATAGCTAAGATATGGAACCAACCCAGATGCCCCTCAATAGATGAATGGATCAAGAAAATATGGTATATATATACACAATGGAATTCTATGCCTCCATCAGAAAGAATGACATTGCCTCATTATTTAGGAAATGGAAAGACTTGGAAAAAGTTATATTAAGAAAAGTAAGCCAGGCCCAAGGGAACATAGGTCCCTTGGTTTCCCTTATTTGCAATAACTAGTATGTGTCTGAGACAAGCAGAAACGGTTAAATAAGTTGATAAGGACTCAAATGGTTTTTCTTTCTTGTTATTGTTTCTAACATATTTATAAGATGATTTCTTTGTTGCTTTGTATGTCCATCCCCTACGGTATAACCCCTGTTTTCACTGTATTTGATGGTGGTATAATTTGTGGAGGGGAAGGGAAAAAACAAATTGTTTTAATAGGAATACAGATGGACCCACTGCAACAATGAGCTGTACAAGACATTATGTCAAAAAATGAACTTTACAACTTTGGTGGGATGGGGAATGGGAGGACAGGGATGGTAAGGGGAAACAACGAAGGAGGCTCATTACCTTGCTCATGTAATTGTAACCCCTCTGTATGGTATTTTTACAATAAAAAATTTATTAACTAAAAAAAGTAATGATATTGGCAGAGGGTCACTGAGAATGAGATAAACCCAGAGAAAACCCATAGGGACTTGTTAATGCATAACAGGAAGATAGAAACAGAGAGAAAACAATGAGGGGAGAAAACTCACAATTTCCATAACAGAAGTAATGTTCCATCTGCAACTGGAAAAGGAACCACTCAAGTGACAGGACAGAGGTGGGTCAGTGTGTATGGAACTGCCTGTCAGTCAGCATGGCAGAAAGGTAAGGGGGATGGTGAAGATGTGCTGGAGATGGACACAGGGAGAGAAGATAAGTCCTTGAGTGCGTCCTGCATTTGGAGGTCAGGTTGCATCTTTTCTGGTCAGCACTATGGAGGCAAGAAAAGAATCTTGGGAGTGTAAGGACAGAAACCACAAGGCTCTTAGAATGGACTGTGCATTGTATGAAACAAATGACTTTCTTTTCCCCAGGATCTTTGTTCCTTAGAAATTCAAAGAAGCCAGTTACATTATTTCACATTAATATCAGGGTAATGCTGGCCTTGTGAAAAGAATCTAGAAGTATTCCCTTCTGTTTAATCTTTTGGAACAATTTGAGCAAGTTTGATACTATCTATTCTTTAAATCTTAGAAAAATTCAACAATGGAGTGAGGAGTTTCTTTTACAGTATTTTTAAAAATTACTAGTGCAATTTCTTTTCTTTTGTATTGCTGGTCTGTTCAGGTTTTCTATTTCATTTGGAATCTTGTAACCTTGTTGAATTCTTTATCGGCTCTAATAATTTCATTATCTCTAGAACCCATGTGGCATCCTAAAGACCTCACCATGAAAAATTTGGAGAGCTATGTACATTTACATATATATATCCAGAAGATTCAGTATTCCGATGTATAATTGTTAAGAATCTCTGAGGGGGCTGGGAAGGTGGCTCAGTGGTAGAGTGCTTGCCTTGCATGCTTGAGGCCCTGGGTTCGATTCCTCAGCACCACATAAGCAGAAAGAACAAAAAAGACAGAAGTGGCGCTGTGGCTCAAGTGGTAGAGTGTTAGCTGAAGAGCTGAGGGACAGTGCCCAGGCCCAGAGTTCAGGCTCCATGACCGGACCCTCCCCCACCCCCCCAAAAAAAAGAATCTCTGAGGATTCTTTGTACTTTGCATTGTCAATTTCAGTGTCTCCTATCCATTTGATTTTGAGTCTTTTTATATTCATCAAACAAGTTCATCCTTTATCTGTGGTGAGAACTCTAAAAATCTGTTCTCTTATCTAGATGAAATATACATTACATTATTAACTATGGTATATGTAATAGAATTGATCACCTGAACTTATTCCTCCAGTCTGCAGCTTCCAATCTCGCTTTTAAATCACACATAGCCTGGTGCTGGTGGCTCCTGCCTGTAATCCTAGCTACTCAGGAGGCTGAGATCTGAAGAGCAGTGTGAAGCCAATCTGGGCAGGAAACTCCATGAGACTCATATCTCCAATAAACTACTCAAAAAAAGCAGGAAGTGGCAGTGTGGCTCAAATGGTAGAGTGCTCACCTTCAGGAAAAGAAGCACAGGGACAGTGCCCAGGGTGAGTTCAAGCCCCAGGACTGGCAAACACACACACACACACACACACACACCCCAATAACATATATGTTTGTTTCAACGTATACAGACTGCTAATTCTGCATCCAGACCTGGGGTACAATGGAAAGCAAGAAAAGACATAGGCCTTGGCTTTGCTAATACCTGTGGCTATCTGATTGGTTAACAAGGGGCCTATCTCTCATGGCTTCATCACTGACTGATCTCCCAGAAAGTCAAGAAGAAGACAAAAATGAATGGAATCCAGGGAGGTGGGGAGGAGACATTTCTGTAGCTGGCAAGCTGTAACTTCCCAGAGAAGTAGACCTGAAACTCAAGCCGAGAACACCAGGCTACTTACAGTTCTCGCGAGGTTTCCAGAGGCCGGCGGCACGTGCGCAGGGGGGGGGGGGTGGAGAGAGGTGCAGAGAGGGGTGGGCGGAGTGGGCGGGCCGGCGGCGGTTGCGGTGGGGACAGGGCCTGGCCGGGGCGGCCGGGCATGTCGCAGCTCCTCAGCTGGTATCTGCTGTGGCTTGTGCTTCTGCTGGTTCGGTTCTCGCGGGAGCTGAGCGCAGACCTCGGCAGGGCCAGGAAGCTGTGCGGCAGACACCTGCTGCAAGAAATAGTCAAGCTCTGTGGCGACACTGATTGGAGCCATTTCGAGTTTCCTGAGACTCCGCCCTCGAAAGGGCGGATTCCCCAGGCTTCCCGCAAAGGGCAAGCCTCCAAGGCCGGCGCCTTCAAGAAACACCATAGCCTTTGGCAGGGTTGGAGAGGAGTCACACACCCAGGTAAAGGACATCCAGCCCGGGGATGGCTGCTCATCCCTGCACACTTCTGGCCCTTGAATTTGCTGTGCCAGGCAGTGAGCTGGGGCAGGATGTGGGGAGTATGTGTCTAATATAGTAATTAAACCAACAAAACTCAGGTGTATTGAGAACATGCAAACCCTCTCTCCCTCTCTCTCTCTCTCTCTCTCTCTCTCTCTCTCTCCCTCCCTCCCTCTCCTCTCTCTCCCTCGTTCCCTCTGCCTTCTGTAGCGGAAAGAAGGGCCCACGTGTTCGTAGATATTTTCCCCAGCTTCACCTTTCTGGAGTGCCCTTGTCAACCAGCAACCTTTATATCCTTCCAAGTCCAGGCAGGTATCATTTCCCCAGTAAAAACAACATGCATCTTTTCAGACTCGAATTGTTTTATTCAGGCACCTAGGAGCCGTATCTAGGACATGCAGGAGTTTTATTTCACAATCATCAGCACTAGGCATATAAGTGGCAAAAAGTAAAAAATGTAAGGGAACCTTCTCAAATCAGAAAGTGAGTGGTGTGGCCAGTGCCTCAGGCCTCTAACCCTAGCTACTTAGGAGGCTGAGGTCTGAGGAACACAGAAGCCAGGCCAATTAATCAGCAAAAAAAAAAAAAAAAAAAAACTGGAAATAGTCAAGTGCCAGCTTTCAGAGAAAAAGCTAAGCAAGGCTATAAAGGCCCTGAATTCAAGCCCTGGGACCAGCACAAAACAAATAAGTAAAAACAGTAAGTACTAACATATAAAGCTTTTATCCATTCTTGTCTGTATTTCTGTTGCTCTTGGCCACAGTACATTCTCCATAGGGTTTACTTAAAACTTTATGTACTTGGACTTCATTTACAAGTTAAATGATAAACTTACTGAGATTTTTTTTGGGGGAGGGAGTCAGTCATGGGGCTTGAACTCTGGACCTGGGCACTGTCCCTCAGCTCTTCAGCTCAAGGCTAGTGCTCTATCACTTTGAGCCACAGCACCACTCCCAGTTTTCTGGTGGCTAATTGGAAATAAAAAGTCTCATGAACTTTCCTGCCTGGGCTGTCCCTGAACCACAATCCTCAGATCTCAGCCTCCTGAGTAGCTAGGATTACAGGCATGAGCCACTAGCACCCAGCTTTATTGAGAATTTCAAGTCCTGGACAATAGAACTTTAAAACTAAATGACAGACTGCTCAACTTAAAAGCAGTTATAGTAATCCTAGCTACTCAGAGGGCTGAGCTCTGAGGATTGTGGTTCAAAGGCAGCCCTGGCAGGAAAGTCCATGAGACTAATTAACCACCAGAAAACCAGAAATGGTGCTGTGCTCAAAGTGGTAGAGCACTAGCCTTAAGTAAAATAGCCCAGAGACAGCACTCAGGCCCTAAGTTCAAGCCCCATAACTGACTGAATAAAAAAAGCAGTGTTGTATTCCAAACATTTTCCAAGGACTATTTCGTGGATGTATTTTACACAAAATGCTAGAATTGCCTCCAGCATGTAATAGGTGAAAAAATAACTTTATACTTAATACCTTCAAGTAGTCAATAAGAAAAATATTCTTTGGAGTTTTGGGTTGTTTCCCCTCTGTTTTTGTTTTGTTTGGAGACAGGTCACATTATGTAGCCCAAATTGGCTTCAAACTCTTGATCCTCCTGCTAACAGCCTCCTGAGTAGTGGAATTATAGGGGTGTACCTGGCCAGCAAAAATATTCTTGTTTTAGTATCTTCCAGCTACACTTTCATGTTTTGGGGATAACATTTCCAATAATGTTTTCCATTTTACTAGAAAATGTAGTTTGTTCATATTCCACCCCTAACATAATGTCATTGGAACTATTACCTTTTAAAATAATTTACTTAATTTTGTTTTATAAAAGTCAAGTGTTCTGAAGTTAAAAAAAAAGCTAATATACGGTCATGCCAATATTAGATGCTAATGTAGATGACTGGAACAAATAAAAGTAGTGCCTGTCATATTGTACATACTTAACAGCTTATTTTTGAGTGAATATAGGGGACTAATAAAATTACTGCTACTGAGAATGAAAACTTGAAGAAGAACCCATCAGACTGAATCTTGTTTGTTTTCCATCATGACACTTACCTGCATATATACTCTTGCTGTCCTTCTCTTACCCTGGAAGTATCTCCCTTTAAAGTCTTCTACTGTTGACTCAATTCAGTGATTCTCAGATCTTTGGTGTTTTTTTCCATCTGTCTCTATTTTTATTGTTACTGTAGAGTTGATATATAGATGGTCATAATTAAATGAGTAATGGCTATGAGTACAATTCATTTTGAACCATGTCTCCCCCCTTCTGTTGCTCTGTCCCAGTGTTTCCCTCTCATCCTCACCCACAAGATAGCCATTTCATTTGCCGCACACTGTCTAGTGACAACTACACTGTTGGTATTTGTTCATCTTTGTTCCACCCTTTATGTGCCCTCTTTTGCCCTCCCAAATACAACCAAACTAACAAACAAAAGAAAAAGGAAACAAAAGCAGCAGCATGGCAACTAAAGAATGTCTCGTTTCTTTTTCTTGGAGTTCATTTCATAGAATATTATTTTATATGATTATTTGCACCTAGCTATTGAGCCTTTGTCCACCACTCCTATACATATCCTCTTTTGACCTCACTATGTGAATGACTAGGTTCCTATATGATTTATTATATCCCAGTGTGTGTGCACTCCAGTTAGAATGGACATTATCAGGAAAACTAACAATAACAAATGCTGGGGGATGTGTGGCCAAAAGGGAACTATTACACTTTTGGTTGGAATGTAAATTTTTTCAACCATTCTGGAAATCAGTATGGATGTTCCTTAAAAAGACTAAGCATAGAGCTTCCCTATGACCCAGCAATCCCACTCCTGGGCATTTATCCAGTAGACCACAAACCAGGCTACACTAAATCCATCAACATAACTATGTTCATTGCAGCATTGTTTACCATAGCCAAGATAGGGAACCAACCTAGATGTCCATCAGTGGATGTGTGGATCAAGAAAATGTGGTATATATACACAATGGAATGCTACTTATCCATCAGAAAAAATTATGTACCATTCGTAAGGAAATGGAAAGACATGCCAAAGAAACATAAGCTGCATGTTTTCCCTCATTTGTGGTAACTAGAATGTGCCTATAAATCTACAAGTAAACACACTGAATAATTAAAATAAGGGCTTGGGTTTTTATGATGATATTGAAGATTGAACTCAGGGTCCTGAGCTAGGCAAATGCTCTACCACTTGATCTATTCCTCCTAATGTGCAGGTTAATCATGTAGGAATTAATCACTTAGGAATCCTGCTTATATGTTATCTGATTCAATAGATCTGAGAAGGAATGTTAACATTACAAGTTGGACAGTTTTGAGTCTTAAAGACAAGTTCACTTTTCTGTTTTCTTCTTCCTCTTTATTCTTTTCCCCAAATCATTTTATGTCTATCTTATTCACTTAAACAGCTCTATCACTGGTATACCCTTTTCAGGTATTTCATAAGAATTTGTATTTTGGCATAGAATCCAAGAAGAAAGTGCTTTCCAAATCCTCTGCCCTAGGTACTTGAGCTATCCACTAGCCCAAGTCCATGGGTTTGGCCTATCATATGATATTTCTTTTACATGTGGTATCACTGAAAAGCTGATTTTTACTTAGTTTCTGCCATCAAGACATATGGTTATATTAGATCAAGCTAGCTGTCGAAAGTTTTAATCTTCTGATTATTTGTTTGTGTCTGGTACAGGAATGCAGGAAAAGATGTCTGGAACACTGATACTTAAAAATACTCTGTTTCAGAGATATACATAACTTGAATCTAAAATTGCGGATTAGCTTGAGTGAATTTGTTACCAAAAGAAGTTCTTTCCTCTCCCGCTCTCCTCTCTTCTGCTTCTGCATTTGAACCATGAAATGATGCATCAGCCCCCAAGAACCATGAGTTAGATAAGTTTATGGTCACTTTAAATGACCAATTGTCAGGTATTGTACTAAAGAAGCAGAAAGTGGGCTAAGACAGGTGTAGTAAGGGAATTAGCCAAGTGGATATCTTAGGAGAAAAGTATTTAAGCAGCAGAAACAATGGAGCAGACACTTCTGTCTAATATATACTGGAAAGAGGGAGGAGGCCAGGATGGCTGGTACAGAGGAAAGAAGACAATATCAGAGAGGCAACAGGCAAACTAAAACAGGGCCTTTTAGGTTGTCATCATTATCACCAACATCATCATCATCATCATTATTTGAGCCGTAGAGGAGTTAGTACCATTTTCTGAGCAGAGGAGTTACATAAATGACATTTAGAAGGAATAACTGCTTTTGAGCTCAGAGTAGAAGGTAGGAGAGGTAAATATAAAAATAGATCTGTAAGGATCTTAGCAATGGTAGCCGTGGAGGGGCTGAAAGCTGCCATATTCTAAATATAATTGAGAAGGTTTGCTATGAGTTATGAAGGGGGAAAAGGAGAAATAACCATCAACTGCTTTGTTAAATGGCAAGTCTTTTGTACCACTGCTTTAAAAAAGAATCTGGTAGTTTGGGCATAACAAACAGTATGTAACTCTTGTGAGCCTCAAGGGGTTTTTTTTGGAAAAAAGTAAAAACTCCAAGGCTGATTTTAAACATGATTCCAAATTTGTGTGGAACACTGGAAGGATGGGATTTCCATCAGCTCAAAGTAGGAAAGGCCTCAAGTGAAACAGAATTGGAAGACACACATGTAATTCTAGCTACTCAGAAAACTGAGATACAAGGATCCCAGTTTGAAGCCAGCCTTGCAGGAAAATCCATGAGACTTTTATCTATAATCAGCCACCAAAAGCCAGAAGTAGAGCTGTGACTCAAGTAATAGAGCATTAGTCTTGAGCAAAAACGCTCAGAAACAGAGTCCAGGCCCTGAGTTTAAACTCCAGCATGAGCACACACACACAAAAACACTGGATTCTGTGATCTTGACTTTGCATTTCTGGGATAAATCATTTCTTAGATATTTGTAAAACATTTTTATGGATTCAGATAACCAAGCTGTATTTTCAAATTAACATTTGTAAGCAAGATGTGCTTTTAAGAGTTTTTTTTAATCTCATATTGTTCTCATCTATTTTTAAATATATTAGCTTCATAAAATGACTTTTGGGCTTTTTCCTGGAAAAATTTATATCTGATTGGCATCTAATATTATTGTAAAATAGGTGGAATCCACGTCTAGAATCATCTGCATTTGCTGAGGTTAGAGGCCCTTCATGCTTGCCACAAAGGTGCTTTACCAATTGAGTCATGCCCCAACCCATTTTGGTCTAGTTATATCTCAGATGGAGTATTACTTTTTTGCCTAGGCCCAACTGGACCATAATCATCCTATTTGTTCCTCCTTTGTAATTATGACAGGTGCATTACCACCACTCCAGCTTATTGGTTGAAATAGGGATTTGCTTTTTGCTCAAGATGGCCTTGACCCTACAGTCCTCTTGCTCTCTGCCTTCTGAATAGCTGAGATGAGCCTCTGCACCTTTTAATTTCTTTGATGATCATTGATATATTTTCAGTGTCTTTTTGTGTTGAGGTATTTTGTTTTTGGAATTTAGCCATTTTGACTTGATTTTAAATGAGCATCCTCAATATTCATTTATTTTAAAGTCCACTGTTCTCTATATAGTTTTCCTACTGTATTTTGTTCATTTTCATTTCTTTTTTTCTTATTTACTGTGGCCCCCCCGAAATCAGATTTGTTCCCTTGGATCACCTGACTTGTGATATTCTAGTCTGTGCATTATGATGTGGGATGAAGGTGCATGCTGCACAGTGTATCTCCAAAGGGCCGGAATTTACAGCAAAAGCTACTGGCCAGTATAAACTGCACTGTGGTGGATAAGGACCATCATGGAAGTCCAACAGACAATTACCATCTGGAATTATTTTTAATAATGCTGATAGAAGTATGAGTTACTTTTTGATTGTACCTTGAATATACCATCCTTTTTCTAATTTCTTTATATTTTGAAGAACAAACTGGTTTCTACTACGTGGCTGTGAACCCAATTTTAAAAATGGGTAAAGAACAGAAAGAACATTTTTAAAGAGAACATATAATAGGCACAAAGAATAAGTGTTCAACATCATGACATAAATATTGATCAAAATAACCATGAGGTATCACTTTACACCCATAAAGTTAGCTATAATAAAAGAGGAAAATATCAAGTGCTGCTGAAGATGGGAGAGAAATGGGAATCCTACTTTATGAGTACCAGAATTTTGGAATGATGTATCTGCTGTGGGAAAATATGCTGCTTTCTCAAAAGTTAAACCAAATTCCCATACGATCTAGAAGTTCCATAATTAAGTACATAATCAAAAGTTTTGAAAAACCATATTCACACAAAATCTTGTATGTGAAAATTTCTATAGCACTGCAATTCATAAGAGCCAAAAAGTTAAGAATGACAAATTGTCCATCAATTAATAAAATGCAGTGTGGAAAAGCCATACAATGTCAAATTATTCCACCATAAAAGGAATGAAGAAGTTACACATGATACAACATAGATGAACATAGAAAATGCTGAGAAAAAACAACACAAAAGGCCTTCTAATGTGTGCTTCCTCAACTAGTAAACTAACACAGGATGTGATGATTCCTGCAATTTTTTTTAATGGTTAAGTGTTCTTTTCTCTCTCCCTTATTCATCTTATAGGCTTGATGGTTGACAGCTGAAAGTGTTTTTCAGTTGTTCATCTAACAATATTAACAGAATAGATGCTTCCTCAAAATCAATTAGTGATTAAAAGAAAAGAGAAATGGAAGTGACTAATGACTACTGAACTTTTAATTACCCATATTATTATGTATTTAAAATGTAATTGCGGTTTTCTAAATAATTGGCTGCTTTTAATATTGAACTATTAGGTTTCTGAAGAAAGATTTCAATAATCTTTCTCTTTATATCAACAGCCTCTACTTCTGCCACAGGACAATCAATATTCAGCTGGGAGATTCAGTCGCTGCCTGAGTATCAATATAAAAAGATCAACTTGATCCCTGATATGATAAGAGAAGCTTCTTCATTACATGATATCAATCCACATGTCCATGAGGATGTAAAATCTCAGAAAAAAACTCTAAACAAAATTAAAACAATAAACCATGTATTTTGGGGGAATCACCCCCAAAGAAAACGCAGAGGATTCTCAGATAAATGTTGTCTTAAAGGATGTACAAAAGAAGAGCTTGCCATTGCCTGCCTTCCATATATTGATTCCTAAAGTTTAAAGACAAAGTTGCCATCACAAGTGACTAGGATGTACTAATGATTATAGGAACTATATTAAGATAATAAAAGCTTACCTGTTTAATATTTATTTACTTATGGTAATTGTGCCTGTTAGGAGCTATAGTATTCACTAGATTTAAATGTACTTGTTAGTACCTGACAATATTTTATGATGATAAATCTTAGTATTTTCTTCAATGAATCCTTTCCCTTATTTCTTTCACATTATTTTTTGGGGGAAGGGGAGGAGAATAAAAGATGTTATTGGAAGTGGTGCGATCTATAAAACATCCTAAAAAGTACCTGTTCATTTTTTGTTATTATGGTTGAAAACACTTTTAGCTGAATTTAAATGGATTATGCAATGTTCTGCAACCCATCTGTATGGCACATAGGCTGACACTCCAGTAAGCCAATTCACTTGTCCTACCAACTTAAAAATAACTAATCAATTACATGCCTATTGAGAACTCTTGTATGGTAACAGTAAGTACATCTTTAATTCCTTGCATTTTATTACAGAAAGACATTCTTCAAAGTTTCTGCAAAGACACAGAGTTAGTACATGTCTAAGTTGTAAAAATCTCTTTAAGATATCTTGTCTTTTCTTTAAAGATACTGATATGTGAATCAATACTCAATCCTTAGCATTATTCCGAGTTCTGGAAGGGGCCTCAAAATATGGCCTGTGGTCAAACCAGCATCAGCATCAGCATCAGTTGGGGATTTGTTAGAAATTCAATTCTGAGGTCCTAACCCAGGCATACTAAATCAGAAACTTTGGATATAGGACCCAGTAATCTTCCTTTTTTTTTTCTTCTTCCAGTTGTGGGACCTGAACTTTGGGCCTGGGCAATGTCCCTCAGCTCTTCAGCCCAAGGCTAGTGCTCTACCACTTGAGCCATAGCACCACTTCCAGCTTTTTTTTTTCTGCTCATGTGGTGCTGAGGAATTGAACCTAGGGCCTCATGCATGCAAGGCAAGCGCTCTACCACTGAGCCAACTTCCCAGCCCCAGTAATCTTCACTTTTAACAGGCCTTTCTGATAGCTCTGCAGTAGGCTAGAGGTTGAGGAACATTAGTAATAAGAGTAACATATGAATATTATGTAAGTCTAACATTTTCCATGCTTGCAAATCTCAATGTACCTGGGTAATACCAGGTCTTAATGTGTTTTCCACTTTCTGTCCACATGTGAAATATTTTTAACGTTATAAAGTAGAGCAAAACATAATCTGATGAATCCAAAGTAGAATTCCTACTTTCTACCAATTAATGGTAAGCACTATTTGAAATCTAGCCCTAGTTTCTTTCTCAAGCATTCACTGTAGTGTTGCTAATTTTGTTGTGATTCTTTAGGGCAAAGTTCTTATATATATAATATACATGTCCAATACATTGATGTTTCATTTTCTAAAAGTTTCAGAAAAATATCTACATTGCTATCTTCCTAAGGGAGTCACCCATTTAGATACAAAAGTAACAGATTGTATTGTGGTTGAATGGGATAAAAAGGTCTGTGAGGCTTTAGATGAAAATGCACCACTTTTATGGAAGAGGAAGGCAGCAGATTAGAGCCATCCAGCACTTTCCTACATCTACATGAATCACACAGATGAGTGCGGGAAGAGGTGGGTGGCATGGAAAGGCACAGCAGAAGTACAGCAGAAATAGCAGACAAAGGCTAGTGAAGATCCAGAAACACAAAACTTTAGATTTGTAAAAGAAAGGGCCCTAACATCAGGCATTAAGATGTCTCTTCCCCTACAAGTGGAGCTTTATACAAGAGGAAAAAGAAAGTCTCAGTGAACTCCAAAAGCACACATTCTGGCACTCTGAGGGGAAAAAAATGTATAGTTTAAGATGGAAGATCTGTAATCTGTGCAAGGTAAGAATACTTTGCTACTGGTGCCATGGCTGACAATCTCTTAACAGAAGGTGTACAGTCAAAGCTTTTTATTGGTGGGGATAAGACTCTGCATTTTTGTACCTCCAATTCCCAAAGTCCTCTTCTCTCCACTGGCTAAATGATTAGGTTGGGACTAGGAAACTGGTTGTGACTTAGACACATACCCCAGGACACAAGTTTAAGAGTAGGAACTGTGATATGAACTGCAGAGAGGAGTAGGAGGTAAGTCTACTTTGGAAATGCAGTCATGACTCTAGGAAGAGGTGTGCTACTAGCAGGTAAATCAGAGAAGTACAGCCAAGGAAGGCAGGATCACTCAGTTCTTACTCTTTTCCCCTCTCCTCCCAGCATAGATTGTTTTCACATTACTGATTTCTACACTCTCAGAGTTCCAGAGACATATGCCAAAAATAGTCTGTCATTTTCCATGCCTATACCTGCATCCATGCTACAATGGTGAGGCACTTCTGGTGAGAGTGAGGAGATAACTGGATGGTCCACAGGAGCACCCTGAGGGCAGGCAAATGAGCAAGGAAGGTAGGAAAAAAAAATGCGAGGGCTACACAAAGAATACATTTCATGAGAATAGGTGAACAACTGAACAGTGTTTTCAGCTGTCAACCAGCAAGATGAATAAGGGAGAAAGAAAAGTACTCAAATTAATCATTAAAAAATTAACAGGAATCACATTTTGTGTTAGTTTAAACATCAACATGACCCAAATACCTAAGGATAATTTAAAATGATATACGTTCAGCTCACAATTTCAGAGGTTTCCTTGGATCCCTTGATTCTGGTCCCATGGTGAGGAAGACTACATCATGGGAGCAAGAAGGAATTCACATGGAGGGTATTCTTCACTGCATCAGAGAAGAAGCCAAATGAAGCAATAACAGGAAGGAGCCACGGCAAAAGAAAAAAAAAATCCAAGAATACACTCCAAGTGGTCTGCTTCCTTCAATCAGGCCCTGCTTTCCACAGTCTAAACATCTCCCAATAGTGTAAGTTTTTAATCCATTGACAGATTAAACCATCTATTAGGTCAGAGCCATCATGATTTGTCTGGAAACCTCACAAAAACAATGAGAAGGGTATTTTACTAATTGGATTGAGGTACCTTTCAATCCAATCAAGTTGATAGGACTCATCATCACACCCCTCAATAACCCTAAATGTAAATAGTCTTAATTCTGCAATTAAAAGATGCAAACTAGCAAACTAGTTATGATGGTACACAACTGTAACCTCAGCACATAGGAGGCTGAGACAGTGAGTTTGAGGCCAATCTGGCTACACAGCAAAATATTCTCCCTACACAACCCCACAGAACCTGAGCTACATAGCAAGACTATCTCAATACACACACACACACACACACACACACACACACGTATATACATGCATGAATACATACAGATATACATAGATATGATCAACAAGATCCAAGTATTTTTCTATCTGCAATAAATACACCTCACTAGCAATGACACCTATGGTCTGGAAGTAAAAAAAAAATAGAAAATATTATTCCACACAATTGTAGCTACGCTCAGATCAAACTGAAATTCCATTAAACAGGGTCATTACATACTAAAAGAAAATGAATCCATCAAGATGTTGGTGGACCCAGTTTCATAAAACAAGCACTACTGGTCATAGAGGGAGAGACAGGTGCAGCTACAAAAGGAGAGTAAAACATCCTACTTTGACCTGGAGATGGAGCACCCAGGCTCAGAGTCCTTGTGAGACAGGGAAACACCACTGGTGAAGCCATATGTAGTCTGCATTCAGGCCTCTCATGAAAGCCAGGTAGTTTGGAGATTGGTGCCCAGGCATCACACCCTCTACTCCAGCAGAGCTGGAAGATCTTTTTCTGGGGTGAGTAGCAAGCTCCACTGTGAGCTCTTCAAGGGATGCTAGAAGAACAAAAAGTTTGGGCTCAGGAAACAGGTGACATGGTCTGCTCAGACATTTTGCTAGGCTGATCCACCATTTCCCACGGATTCCAGGTGAGACTTGGCTATGGACGAAGATTGTTCCACGTTTTCTCTCAAGTCAGGTTTCTGCTGGGATAATTCTCAGGGCATAGCTTTTCAACCAACATCAGTCGATGGAAAGGGGCCCCTCTGGACTGACTCAGGCCGCTCCTTTTTGACATGGTTGGCTAGCCCTGGCCCTGATAGTGATGCTGGAAGTCTTTAAGGAATTCTCATTGAAGAGATGGGCCTTATCTTCAAAGTTTGGTGGATGTTTCTGAACACAGAGGGTTCAGACTGTGTGAAAAAGTCAGTCATAGTCCACAAGACCCAGAGGATGGGGGTGGGGGTGGGGAGACACACTGAGTTCAAGCAGTGAGTTCCAGCTGACATATGCTTCCTCTTGCACTTCTCTCTTGAGACTGTCCTGTCTGTGGCTCTTCCCAAGTCCCCCTGGGCATGCAGAATCAGGCAACTTGCTTGTTAGAGGGTGACTATTTGGTCTTGTGATGGTGGCCAAGACATGGAACTTGAATCTCTTACTGGCTTCATTCCTTGCTGGTATGGATCACTGGGCTCCAAGCAGCCCCACCAAGCCCGAGGTTAGCAGAGTTGGTAGGTGGAAGTTTAGGTAGGCAGAGTCCCGGGGCTGGTATAGCACCACACCGTGAAAAACCAAGGTAGCAAAGAGGCATTCCTAGTTGATGGAATCGTGGAGGGCTGCCAACTCTATTCCAGAAACTTATGAGATCATCCAGAGCAAAAAATTAATGAAGTTTCAGAATTGAATTTCATCATAGATTAAAAGCACCTAAGAGATATCTACAGATTATTCTAGCAGCTATGGGTACACATTCTTCTTAGAAGCCTGTTAAATTTCTCCAAAATATAACACACTTTTTAAAACAAGTCATTTATAAAATTATAAAACAAGTCTTAAGTCACTTGAAGTACTTTTTGTATTTTATCACATTATAATGGAATACAATTATAGAAACTACAGATACAAACACTTACTGGTTATCAATGAGTTAAAAATATAAAGAGCAGTTTACTAGATTAAAAATAAAACAAGTCATAATGGATCAATGAAACTTTTGTTGTTGGTTTTTTATTGGTCCGGTTGTGGGGCCTGAACTCTGGGCCTGGGCACTGTCCCTCAGCTCTTCAGCTCAAGGCTAGCACTCTACCACTTGAGCCACAGCGCCACTCCGGCTTTTTTCTTTTTGCTTATGTGGTGCTGAGGAATCGAACCCAGAGCCTCAGGCATGCAAGGCAAGCACTCTACCACTGAGCCACCTTTCCAGCCCAATGGATCAATGAAACTTTAAAACATAAAAATTTCAAAATTTAGGCACAGAAAATAACTTTCTGTATAAGACTCCAAAAGCTTAGGAATAATTGACAACTGAGATAGCGTTAAAAAGCTTTTGCACTGCAAAGGAAACAGTATCAGAATGAAAAATCAGAATATAGAAGGGATGAAAATCTTTTCAAAGTATTAATATACAGAATATAAAAACTCAATAAACACAAAAATCCAAACAATTCAATAAATGAGCAAGTAATTAGAAGAGATACTTTTCAAATGAAGAATGACAGCCAATAAATTCATGGAAATTGTTGGTAGGCAAAGAAAATACTAAGCAAAACAATATTAAGACTCCATCTCCCCAAGTCAGAATGGCTTTTACCAACAACACAAAAACATTGGTCAGGAAAAAGAAAAAAAACAACAACCTTGTATTCTATCATGGAAACATAAATTAGCCACTATGGGAGCCAATGATTCCTCAAAAAGAAAAAAAGAATAGAACTTCCATATGATACAGCTATAACTAGTTCTGGTTATATATCCAGAAGGATCAAAGTCAGCTTACTATGGCGATTCCTACACACCTAAGTTTATCAGCGCACCATTCATGATACTTAAAGTTATGGAATCATCCTTGGTGAACATCAAAAAATGAACTGATAAAAGAAAGTGTGGTATACAAATACAATGCAGTTTTATTTAGCCATAATAGAAAATAAAACTAATGTTGTTCACAGCAAATGCTTTAAACCAGTCTCACAAAGACAAGTATCACATGTTTTCTTTCATATGTACAATTTAGAGAGGAAAAGGGACAAGAAATAAAAGGGGAACTATAGGAGACGTAGAAAAGAAAGGAGAGGGGTAAAAGAAAGGGTAAGAAAAGAGGGTTAATAACACCCAAGTACATTTAATCATGTATGGAAAGGTTATAATGAAATTCATTAATATATGCTAATAATAAAATATTATATTACATACCATTCACTTCATTATTAGCATATATTCTCCAAAAGGATTTCACTGTGATTTTCCATATATGCATTTAATAGACTTTGATCAAACAGCCTATTTTTTTTTTGGTGGGGGGGGTCTGGTCGTGGGGCCTGAACTCTGGGCCTGGGCGCTGTCCCTCAGTTCTTCAGCTCAAGGCTAGCGCTCTACCACTTGAGCCACAGCACCACTTCTGGCTTTTTTCTTTTTGCTTATGTGGTGCTGAGGAATCGATCCCAGGGCCTCAGGCATGCAAGGCTAGCGCTCTATCACTGAGCCACCTTCCCAGCCCCAAACAGCCTATTATTATTCAACCTTGTACAAACAAGCTAAAGCTACAATGAAGAAGTTAACATAATTCCAGCATATAAGTCCTTCTTTCCAAGGAGCATGAAGGCATGTTTAGACAACATTTAAATAACAGAAGTTACCAATTATAGTAAAAAAATTTTACTTAACTTTGATACATAACAAAGAATTCTACCATGGCAAATTAAAGTGCTTCAGGCAGCACACTTAAATAGCATGAAAAAAAAATACTTCCTAAAGCAAGTATACATGGAAGTAAGGATTTGTATAAAGATAATAACATAGTATAATATATACAAAATTACAGGATTCTAAGAAAATTTTCAAAAAATTAAGAAACACTTATGCTTAACTGGTTTATTACTTACCTCTTTCTAATAGAGAACCTGTTAAACAGGTACATTAACTTCATTTTATGTATGCTCAGAATCAAAAGTTAAAACATTACAAACCCTCAGTGAAAAAGAAATTTCATGTAAACTTGGAATTTGACAATAAGGTGGTCTTGCAAACTTAAGAATACATTGTGAAATTATTTTAAGTTAGAAAATGAAACATTTCAAAACATAACAAAATTCACATGCTTTTTTTTAAAAACAAAATGTTACATACCTCTGAGATAAATTCACTTTTAAGTAATAATGAACAAAGTTTTGAAATCAAGCATAACGTGTGGTTGCTACTTTCAATTTGAAAATAGACTCAAAATTATCTTAACAATTACATAAATAGACCCTTAAAAAGACTTTACAAATTAAAGTTTAAATTTTATCAAAGAATCTACTCAAATTTTTAAAAAATGTAATATATTCTCATTTTAGATGATTTTGGCATGTGGTAAAACTACTAAAATTCCTTAAGGATAAAGAACAGAAACAGGATTCTTCCCTTTCTTTTTCCAACAATCAGAAGTTTTAAGCAAAAGTCTTTTTGAAATGGCATATACCACTGCAAATTAAATAAGAAAATTTTTTTAATCAAAATGTCAAACATCTTAAATTTTGTATAAATAACACACACAAAAACCACTATCACATTTTATTTTAGGTACTATATCTTAAATGGAGTAGCACTAGAACAGATGACAACACAAATAATACTTTATACTTATTAAAAATATGTATTTTCTCTTTTTTTAAAAGACATACATTATGAATTTTCTACTGGCATCCTGTAATAAAATTGACAAGCATACTTTTCATCAAGTTGCTCATTTCCTCATTGAGTATGAGACTCTAACAAAGGGAATCTCTTCTGTAACTGTAATAAAAACTTCAAACATAGTCTCTAGACTTTATGTCCTAGCCCACTGTTCATCTTAATGAGCTTGCACATTTTAGAAACTATGTTATGGCTTATGCTTACATTTAATAATGCGTGACCACAGGTCTCAAAGACTGAAGAATCTTATTGGCAGTCAAGAGCTCAAAGGACGACAACATTCCCAACATTCTTATTCTCAAAAATGTAAAAGAATACTATTCATTATAGTCTTAGAAAAAATTTGGAGATATTTCCATTTAAAAAAACATTCACCACAAACAGATACAAGAGAAACAAATAAGAAAATAGATTGTGTTATTTCTTTGTAAGCTTGTTCCATTTCAAAACATATTCTTTAGGGCTAGGGGAATTACTTATACAAATAAAATAGACTTTTGTTCCCTTTGCTTTGAAAAATATTTACAATACATGGAACTATAAGCAAAAATCATACACCTGCTAAATATCGTCAGATAGTAGTTTGGATGAACAAAAACAAGAACGGTGCTGCTCAATTTTCTGAGCACAGTAATTTGTTGGTACAGTGAAGTTATTGTGTATCAGTTGTGGAAAAATTAGAAACATTACTAATGAACACTAGCCCTTGTGTAAATCACACAAGATGCCAAAGTATAATACATGCACTGTGGTAAAAACTGTACATATTTTTGTGCATCTTCAACAAGGCAAAATTTACACTGTAATTTTCATCTCTCAAAAAGCTGAGTTGACAAATGTTATTTATTTTTTTGCCAGAGAAGGAGGTATACTGGCTGATAAAATTCATGAAACTTTACAAAATTTCTTTTTCAAGATCTCCCATCACAGTCATGTACAGGTAGCTGCATGAAGAAAACACTGAACTTTCCAAGTTTTCAGCAGCTATTTTCACATCTCTTCTGGCAAGCATCATGATTTACATAGTAATGATGAGTGATAATAGTCCACAGCAATGTGAAAACCTTTGTTCTGGAAGTCTGCTTTGGTCTCGGTGTCCACGTCGTTCATTTCTTTCATCCAGCTATGTTGTCCCGTATCTGATCTACCCGATATGCTAGGTCCCTGAAGGAGGGGCGCTGATGGACATTATTATTCCAGCATTCTGTCATGATCAAATAAATCTGTAAAAATAAATAAACCACACTTATAATGAGTACAAAGCACTAGGTAGAAGAAATGAATTTGGAATTCTCACTTGATTTTTTAATACTGGGCATGTGTCATAATTAAATCTTGATTCACAGTGACTTGCTTATGTTATTTATCTAAGAGCTCAGTAATTTCAATGATCTCTGAGTAAAAAGGAAAAGATCATGATGATTGCTATGGACTTAAAAAATCATTAGCTGGGTGTTGGTGGCTCAAGTCTGTAATCCTAGATAGTCAGGAGGCGTAGGTCTGGGAATCACAATTGAAAGCCAGTCCCGGAAAGAAAGCACATGAGACTTTTTTTTTTTTTCAGTTGAGAGGCTTGACATCATGGCCTGAGTGAGTCCCTAAGCTCAAGGATCACACTCTACCACTTTGAGCCTCAGCTCCACTTTTGGTTTTATGAATGGTTAATTGGAGAAAAGGGTCTCATGGGCATTGTTCTGCCTGGGCTGCCTTCAAACCTCAATCCTCAGATCTCAGCCTCCTAAGTAGCTAGGATTACAGGCATGAGCCACTAGTGTGTCCTCAGCCCATGATAATTTTAACTCCAATTAAAAACCAAAAAAACCAAAGTGAAGCCATGATATAGTGCTAGCCTTGAGCTCAGAAGCTCAAGGACAGAACCCAGGCCCTGAGTTCAAGCCCTAGGATCAACCTGTATGCAAGCAAGCACACACACACACACACACACACACAAGCACACACACACACACACACACACACACACACACACACAAGCACGCA